TGCAGCAGTGCCCGCCCGCTGTGGCGTCACCACTGTCACGGCAGAGGACAGCCAGGGACGCAGGCCGGTTGCAGGCCCTGGAGCACAGGGGCGCCCGGTGCAGTGGAACCTCGGTGCGAGGGAGGGCAGCGTGCGGGGCTGCAGGTGCCCCTGTGGGGAAGGTGTCCCCTCACGCTGCAGCAGGGTGACTCCGGAGGCCGTGGGCACTTCTGCCTGCCCTGCTCTGCAAGCAGTCATCCTGTTTAACAGGAGGTGTTCTGTAGTTCACCTTGCTGCTCCAGAGGTAGTCGCTGGTTCTCCTTGAACTGCCCCCAACAAGTGTAAATCAGGCCAGTAGGCTACACAGATTACTGCACGGATCTCCCTGCAAAGCCTGGAGGGGTTCCAATTCCTCATTCCTGAATCAGTTTGGGTTGGGTTTTTTTCCCAGTATGCCAAGAAAAAGCACGTGTCTGAATGTGCTGCAGCACTAGTGGTTCAGCAAGAAGCAGCTGCTGCTTCCCATGACGAGCTGGGCCTGGAGGAGCCCTTTTCCTCCTGCCTGCCAGTGCCAGGCATGTGTCTGTCTAGAGAAGGACTCCTGGCCCCTGCTCTGGTGGGGGCAAGCTCTTCCCTTGGGAAGGGTTGCTGCGGAACTGGAAGTGGGAGGAGAGAGACTCGCAGGGTTAGAGAGCAAGGCACTATCCTTGGTAGAGGGCTGGGACTTCATTTGGGGACAGTGAAGCACCCAGGGGTGCTGCATGGCCCTTGGCTGGGGCAGTTCCAGCTCCGGACGCTGGTCAGGAGCCGGAGCACAGGGCTCTGCTGTTCCTCCTGGCAGCATGGTGATCCACAGCCCCCAGGGCCCAGCGCTCCTCCCACGGGCTCCTTGCCGGGGCAGACGTCCCAGCACTGCCTCCATGGGCGCTCCGTTCCCGACACTGCCTCCGTGGGCGCTCCGGGTGCTGAGATCCGCCGCAGCCGGGGATGGGCATCCCCTGCCGTTGCTTTAGTCCTGGCATCGCCTGGAGCTTCTCTCTCTTTTCCTTTTTTGCCCTCCCAGCCTGATGAGGATTTGTTCAACCCCGACTATGTGGAGGTGGATCGGATTCTGGAGGTGGCCCACACGAAGGACCCCGACACCGGGGAGGTGAGCAGCTGCCTCGCTTGCTGCACGCAGGGAGGGTGGCTCGCGGGGCCTCGGGCTGGGGAAGTGCAGCCCATATTGACAATCTGAGGCTTTCCCAGCCCCGCACAACCCAAGTCCTGTCCGGGAGCGCTGGGCACAGGGAGAGAGTTTCTGGGCTACTGGCTGTTCCTGTGGCCGCCTCTTGCCAGCGCCCGTGGCCGTGTGCTGGGCTGAGCTGCTGCAGAGCTCTGCGCTGCCCTGCCAGCCCGTGTCTCCCTGCACTGCAGGAGGTGACCCACTACCTGGTGAAGTGGTGCTCGCTGCCCTACGAGGAGAGCACCTGGGAGCTGGAGGAGGATGTCGACCCAGGCAAGATCAAAGAGTTTGAAGCCCTCCAAATCCCACCAGAAATCAAGCACATGGTAACGTACCCAGAGGTAACGTACCCGGCAGGGAGGGCAGGGACTGTCTGTGTATGCCGAGACCCAGCAGTGCTGGCCCTAGCTCTAGTGCAAGCCCTATATCTCCCTCTCCAGATGGGTCAGCGGGATCTGTGGGTGGGATACCGAGGCTGACACCTCTGTGTGAACCCTCTGACTGTCCGTGTCTGTTTGGAAGTGTTGTCCTGAGGTGCAGCCCCACAAGTGGGGCCTTGCCACACTGAGCAGTAGCCTCTTCCTCCCCACGCATCTTGCTACTGCTCTCTCCTAGGAGCGCCCAGCGTCTGAGTCCTGGCAGAAACTGGAGAAATCCCGGGAATATAAGAACAGTAACCAGCTGCGGGAGTATCAGCTGGAGGGGATGAACTGGCTGCTCTTTAACTGGTACAACAGGTGAGAAGGGGCTGGAGCCCCCTGCTCCCCAGGGAGTCCCGCTGACGCAGGTCCACAGGTGGGAGCTGCCAGCCGCCAGGGAGACCTGCCGTGCTGGAGCACACAGGCAGCAGCCAACAACTGTATTGTTTTGGCTTTGCAATTTAGTCGGTAGGAATATTTCTCTCTGGTAAATGCTGATTTGGAGAGGAATCTAAGATACAGCTGAAATTTGTTGTTGGCCAGGCTGCTGGTGACCCTTTCTTGTGGCAGAAATACACTTGTCCTGGGTTGCAGCAGGCCATCGGATACGTCTTTCCCTGGCACCCAAAGGCACCTATCACACTAGCTTTGGGTTCATCATTTGCAGGTGATCGGGTGGTGTGGCAACCTGGGCCTCTAGCACTGCTGTGCTGATGCCACAGGGCTGCAGCTCTGGCCACCATTCGCCTGGCAAGGTCAGAGGGGCAGGTGGAGGTGACAGTCTGTATCCCGCGGGGGAGACAGGGGCAGGATGGCTCTTCTCCTGCCAGATGTGTTAATGCCCCCGTCCGCCTCCACAGGAAGAACTGCATCCTGGCCGACGAGATGGGGCTGGGGAAGACCATCCAGTCGATCACCTTCCTCTCAGAAATCTTCCTGATGGGCATCCACGGCCCCTTCCTCATCATCGCCCCTCTCTCCACCATCACCAACTGGGAGCGGGAGTTCCGCACGTGGACGGAGATGAACGCTATCGTGTACCACGGCAGCCAGATCAGCCGCCAGATGATCCAGCAGTACGAGATGGTGTACAGGGACACGCAGGTGATTTCGCGCAGGTGTTCCTGCCATGGTGCAGCCTCCAGCCTGGCTCCCTCTGCTTGGGAAGCCCTGGGCTGCATGTGCAGCTGGTGGCTCGCCTAGAGAGGGCAAGGGGATCTTCTGAGGTCTGTTTGCTGGCACGGGCTCTAGGGTGCACCATGTGTTGGTGAAGAGCTGGCCTGACTTGTGCACAAAGGGGAAAACGTTGCAGAGCCCAAGCTGCACCTTCTGGCCAGGCTCTGTGTGCCCCGGAGCAAGGTTGGGGCTGGAGGGGCACAGCCTGAGGGTGGCACGTGGGACGTGGCGCAACCTGCCTGCTGCGTGCGGGAGGCGAGCGAGGAGAGCCCCGCCGGGGTTCAGTCACTGCCAGGGTGGGAGCCTGCGTGGGCCAGCAGGGATGGCTGTGTGTCAGCACAACCACTGTCGTGCTGCCTCGCAGGAGTCATACGCTGCCCCTGGTTTCTGTCACCACAGGGTAACCCTCTCCCTGGGATCTTCAAGTTCCAGGTGGTTATCACCACCTTTGAGATGATCCTCGCTGACTGCCCGGAGCTGAAGAAGATCCAGTGGCGCTGCGTGGTCATAGACGAGGCGCACCGCCTGAAGAACAGGAACTGCAAGCTGCTTGAGGGGCTCAAGCTCATGGCCCTGGTGAGCACCGCGGCCTCGGGCAGGGAGCGGGAGCTGCCTCTCGCAGCAGAGCCGCCGTCTGCGGCCGTCGAGGCA